CAGACGTGTGCTCTTCCGATCTCCCCAAAACCCCAAAACCCCAAAACCCCATGAATCAATAATAGATTACTTTTTAAGAAAATGATATCTTCGTGATTTTCTAAATTAATTCTTACTTAATGATATATAGGAAAAACTTTATTTTATCAGTTCTTTTTCCTAATAATTTTTGGGATTGATGTGCCTTCATTCTCCTCTTCATCATCACTAGAGCCATTTAGTTTCTTCTAACTTTTCTTACTTTTAGTTGAAGGGGCTTGATTGAAGGAAGTCCCCTACCTTTATTTTCCATTTTACTTATCAAAAGCTTAACTAAGTATATTAGAAGTTTCTTTCTTCTACAACTCTTTCTTCATTTACTTCCTATCCATTTTCCTAGAATGCTCAGATTCTTATTCTTCATCTACCTCAAGAACAGGCAACTCTGAACTTTTATTAGCATTTCCACTTCTTCTGTTATCAATATTACTTCTATGAGTATTCTTTCGATCATGAATTGACAAGATTGATTCATTATATTCACTCTATTCACAGAATTATTCATCAATCCTATGATTTGCCATTGAGTTTTCTATGTACTTGAACTTTTCCATTCTCTGACGATCCAATCTAAGTTTCTCATCCTCATCAATAACTAACTAAGTTGAGTCTTTATTAGACAGAGTAGAGTTTTTAAGTTCTTCGTCTGGATCGTTAGTACTCTTTCTAAACTTCTGCTTTTGTATCTCTAATTACTATCTGAGTTCACTATTCTTTTGCTCCTTATCATGAAGTAGCTTTTCCTTTTCGGCCAATTCATTAAGTTTTTGACTTTTTTGATTAATTAACTTATTTTTTTCACTTTCCTTTTCTCTCAATATTTTTTCTTCATGACATAACTCTTTATGCATATTATTTCTATCACTATTAAGCTTCTCAAGACCTTTTCTCAATGATTCGACTTCTTTCTCAATGCTGACTTTCTTTTTTTGAGCTTCCTATAATTTTTACTGTAATTTCTACTTTTCATCCTCGTATTTAGTTCTCAATTTCGATTTTTCCTCGTCCATTTCCTCTACCTTTTCATTTAGAATGGTTATTTACATTTCTTATGCAACTTTAATATCATCTAGGTCTTATTTCAACTAGAATTGAGATGAAATAAAGCACAAATAAATAAAATATTGGTACTTTACCTTGTAATTTTGCAGCTCAGTATCACAGGAATCACATATCCTGTAGAGAGTCTTCTGATCAGACTTTGAAAGCGGCCTTTAATTATTTGAGCACTTATTACACACAGTTTTGCCACATCTTCTGCAGTGATGTTTTCGATTTAGTGTTGTAAACTTTATATAGCAGATTTCACAGTTGTTAAGTTCATTAAACTGGACTTTTTTCTCATCAAAAGTATCAGGAAGGGCTTCATACATATTCATCATCTCTAATAATATGATTATTGCATATAATAATCTTACTGATATTAACTCTCAATGATTAAGATTATCTATCAACTGATGAGAAAGACATTGATTTGTCACTCTAGGTGGTGTTTTAACGCTTTAACATTGAGCCTGAATTATATCCTTATGATAGTGATAATTCCTCTAGAACATTATATTTCACATGATTTACTTGGTGTGCCAAAGTTGCCAATGTTAGAATTATTAATGCTATTGCTGTTAGTTTTCCATAAATCAAACCCATCAGTAGTTACTAATTGGATTATAAAGTAAACTATACCTACATCTATTATATTTTTGAGATTAATTTCCTCGATTGAAATCACCAGGAGCAAAGGATTATGACATTGAAAAAATAATATACAAAAAATTATTATATTTATATAAATTTGATTAAAGCTCTAAGTATAAGTTAAATTAAGTAATTTGTCAGATCTGATTTATTTATCATATTCAAGCATCAATCTTAGTAGCATCAAAGCCTGGAATATCAAATTATGAAGCGAATTTTTCGACTTCCTGGGCCAATTATTTGATTTCAGCAGATTTTTCAAGGCCTTCTTGGAATTCCTTTAACTTTTTACCTGAGGTTTCCTAGATCTTCTTTGAAATTTTAATTGTCTCGTCGATGAATACTCCAACTTACTTCATATCCTGCTCGAGATAGCCTCTTGTAGTAACAGCTGGAGTACCGATTCTAACACCACCTGGGGTGATAGCAGATTTGTCTCCAATAATAGTGTTTTTATTTAGAGTAATATGAACTTCATCACATGCTTTCTCAAGTTTTGATCCAGTTAAACTATGAGGTCTTACATCAAGCAAAAGCAAATGGTTATCAGTACCATCAGTCACAATTTTATTACCTCTCTTCATTAACTCATCAGCTAGTGCCTTTGCATTTTTCTTTACTTGTTGGCAGTATTCCTTGAACTCTGGAGTATTAACTTATTTTAATTGAGCTGCTAAGGCAGCAACTTAGTGATTATGTGGACCACCTTGAAGCATGGGGAAAACTGCGAAATCAATCTTATCCATGATTTCCCTTCTGGCAAATATCATTCCAGATCGAGGACCTCTAAGAGATTTGTGAGTGGTAGTAGAGACAACATGAGCATACTCAAATGGATTATTCAGCTCTTAAGCTGCAACAAGACCACTAATGTGAGCCATATCAGCTAAAAGATAAGCTCCCACTGAATCAGCAATTTATCTAAATCTTTTGTAATCAAGATCCCTTGGATATGCTGAAAATCCTGCAATTATTATTTTCGGCTTAAATTCCTTTGCAGCTGCCTCTAAAGCATCATAATCAATATGACCAGTTTAGAGATTTACTTTATATTACTTTGACTCCCAAAAAAGTGATGTGGCAGATACCTTTTTTGACTCAGTATAATAGCCGTGAGTTAAATGACCCCCTTACGTTAAATCAAGTCCCATGAGTCTCTCTCCTGGTTGCAATAAAGCAGTGTAAACTGCAAGATTAGCTGGAGATCCTGAATATGGTTGAACATTAACTCCCCATTCAGCGGGATTTAATCTATATGCCTCTAATGCTCTGTTCCTTGCAAGATCCTCAATCTTATCTATGTACTCATTACCACCATAATATCTTGCTCCTGGATATCCTTCTGAGTATTTATTTGTTAAGGCTGATCCTAAGCATTCAAGTACAAATTTATAGGTAAAGTTTTCTGAAGCAATTAACTCAATGCCTCTATATTGTCTAAATTTCTCAGCCTCTATAAGTTTATATAGCTCATGATCATGCTCTTTCAATGAAAGATCCTTAACTGGAAGTTGACGAGTAATTTTTGAAGCAAAGTTAAATCTGGATGATGCCTTGAGTAGGTTATTGTACTTATTGGTAAATTATCTGAGTGATTACATTTTATCTTTAATAATACTAGTTAGAATTATTTTATCCTCAAATTGCTTGAGTTTAATAGACGGGGTTTTGGGGTTTTGGGGTTTTGGGG